GAATTGTGTCGATGTCCCAATATTTCTGGACCTGACTGTATATGGAAGTTTGTTGGGTAAGAGTACGAAACAGCATGCTCTTGATTTGAGCTTTATGCTGGCGCAAAATGGGAGACTTAACCCATGCTGGCTGGGGAATTCTGGGAGTTGAAGTCCACCCGTCTGAAAGCTGCCAAGGTTGAGAAACACTGCTGTAGAATCATTTTCACTCTAGGGAAGGTGAAAAAGAGCTCCTATTTCAATCAGCTTGATAATGCAAATATAAAACGTCTACTAACTAGGCTCCCCATTTTCAGTATCTTTCCTATACTCTGGACTAAATTAAGACAGTCAATACCTGAAGTGTTGTATTGGCTTAATTCCTAGATTTATTTCCTCTATCAGAAACTTACAGTGGCCTAATCCAGATCAAGACCACCATGCTTGGGAAGTGAGGAGAGCCTTCCCCTCCTCCCAGGGACTTTGGATTTGTTAAAAACAACAACCTCCAACGGCCTGAGGTTGGAGCTGCTCAGCTGCTGACACTACCTAAGAGCAGGGCCATCCTTTCCTCTGATGATGGGGTTTTCCCCAGCAACCAGGGCAAGTTTAAATCACCATTTTTTTTTCTCTACCTCCCCAGCTGAAAACTCTTGAGAAAGCTGGGATGCTCTTTCGGACAAAAACTGCTGATAAAGGGAAACGCCTGAGGTAAGAGTGGCCTGCTTTGCATGTCTTGGGGACTTCCATCACCTTCCTCATAATTATCCCTGCACTGACTTATTTCAGTGTTTCTGACATAGGAAGAAGTAGGAGGGCAGTTTGGAAGAGTACTTTTTTCTTGCTTGAAACGGAAGGTACTCTTTACTCTGACAGTTAAAAACATGTTGGTTTTTCTAGAACAGTGGGCACAATTTTCCTTGTAGTTATGGAGTAGATCACTTGAGGAGGTCCTGCTTCCTCCTTGTCCAGCATTCAAGGCACAAGATGGCATCTCCTTCTCTGGTCAGTGGTGCTACTAGTGGGAATTCCTCAGGCTGCTCAACAGCAGCCTCGGTGACAGAGGATACTTAGGCATTTTTACTCCCTGCCTCTAGATTGGCAGAGGCCTTAAGCCACTGATGGAAATGGAGCCATGTTCCTGAGTCATTGCTTACAGGGAAAGTAGTCATAGCCATTACTTTTTTCCCCCAAGAAATCCTCCTCAAACATATCAGTGCCACCACTGCAGCCAGAGGCAAGGCTCTAACCAAAGGTGGGTAGTGGGCACCATAATTCTGTAAGGATTATTTGAAACATGCTGGTTCAGTCAAGGTAGAACATCATTCCAAGGACTCAAGAAAGCATATTTTGGGGAGGGAGTACTTCTATAAATTACCACTAATTAAGTAAAAACAAGCAAGGGTTAATTTAAATAAAGCAAGTGATCAGGAAAATTAAGAGTTGCTTTAAGCCATGCTGAAGGGGAAGGTGTTTGCCAATTGACAGCTGCCTTCCTTGGCACATTTTTTAGAACTGAATGGGTCTGCATTCCTCTGAATAAATATACTTATGGTAGGATACTTATATACTTCTCAGCTTTTCTGCCTGCTCCTTTCTGGCTTACTTGTGAGCTCTTCTTTGGAACTGAATTATTGGCCTCCTGATTGTGCCTCCCTCTCATTCTTCAGCTAAATATTGTCTGTCTTCATCACATACTATTTTGAGCCTGTTTCCTCCTCATAACTGGATTGATCATTCAGAGAGACATGGTGCACTCTTTTTGTGTGATGATAATCAAGAGCAGTGTGTGTTGAAAAGTGATGAGAGAGAGAAGGGAGGAATATGGATGACTATATTTGGATAGTTACACCATTTTTCTCCAAACTGAAACCCGTCCCTTACTCTTCATTTTATGCCAACCCAATTAATGTTGTTATGTGAATGATATATCCTTTCTTTACGTTCTCTTAGGAAGAACTGGAGTTGTGCATGGACAGTCTTGGAAGGTGGTGTCTTAATATTTTTCAAGGACTCCAAGCATTCATCTTCCAGCAGCGTGGTAAGTCTTCAGCCTTAGTTTGCTGCTCAGAGATAGACACACCAGTTGATATTCCAAGAGGACAGGGAGTTGGGGAAGAAATTCAAATTTACAAGTACAGTTAATTTAAAAACCATCTTTCCTCATATGAAGCTGCTCACTTATTAAGGTCTCCTAAAGAGTCTCTCCTTCTCATCTCACAGATAGTTGCATTTGGTTAGGAAAAATAAATTTCCAGACTTTGAAATCACTTCCCATATGTGTTTTTGTGTGTGTCTGAATAAAATTTCTGTTAGGTTCATCTAATTTTTATAAATTAAGGTTATTTTTTTTAAATATTACTGCTCAGAAAAAAATCATCTATAACTGTGTTAATAATATGATACAACATTAAAAGTAAAGCAAAACTGGGATGAAGAAGACTTGGACAATTACACTGTATATAAAATAACTAAAATCATTTTACCAAATTGTTTTAGCGTTCTCTTTCTTGCCCCTTTATTGGATAAGATTAGTCAGATGTTGATAAACTTCCCATATGAATCAACCTGATGTGGAATTTCAGAAGAAACCCTTTCCTTCCCC